CCTGATGAGAAGGAAAATGACGAGGGTTCAACAAGTCACCCTAATGATGGTGGAAAATTTATTTCCAAGGAAAAAGTTTCACCCCACCTGCAGTAGATGAAGTTTGGCCCCCACCATTTCTTCAACGGTTGAAAAAGCATAACGACGAGGTCCAGTTCAAAAAGTTTGTTGATGTCCTTGATAAGTTGTATATCAATGTTCCACTGCTCGAAGCCATTGAGTAGATGCCTTCATATGCCAAATTATTGAAGGATATTGTAAAAAAATATAAAGTTGGAAAGACTAAAAAATGTTGCCACGACGAAAGAATATTGTTCTACATTAAGTAAAATTCCACCGAAACAAAGAGATCCTGGCAGCTTTGTTATACCATGTTCTAACGGTGAAAATTATGTTGAAAGAGCCCTATGTGACTTGGGATCCAACGTCAATTTGATGCACAAGTCCATATTTTTGAAGCTTGGAATGGGTAATGCTCGACCAACCACTATGATTTCGCAACTAGCTGACCGATAACATGTTCGTCCTGAGGGAAAAATTGAAGATGTCATCATGAAAGTGGAAAAATTTGTTTTTCCAGTAGACTTTCTTATTCTAGACTGTGAGGCCGATGAAAATGCACCTATTATTCTTGGGCGTCCCTTCTTAGTCATTGGGCGCATCCTAATAAATTGTGAGAATGGAGAGTTCACGATAAAGGTGACTGATCAAAGCGTTACAATCAATGTCTTCAACACTCTTAAATATATTGATGATTTAAAAGAATGTCATTACATTGGATACATGGAGTCAATGGAAGAAGCTGTAATAGAAAATTTAAGCGAAGACAAATTTTTACATCTAGACGAGTATGATACTCTTTGCCATGATAATCTTTTTCAGATGAAGGAATGTAAAAAAATTTGCCACTGTGATATTTTACAGCCAGAGGGATACAATAATTTTGGCCCAGACGAATTTTCTCATAATGAGGCATACAAAAATATTTGCCTAGGCAAAATTTTTTCAATTAAGGTAAATGACAGACATATTGAAGAAAGAGAAAATGCAGAGTCCAAGGATTATTCATTGGATGTGGAACAGTCTAGCTTACTTCAAGCTATACCATGTATGAGATTCGAACCCCTTGATTTCAATGAATTTATTCCTCCAAAACCTTCACTTCAGCATGCACCTACCTTGGAACTTAAACCTTTGCCATCAAATTTGAAATATGCTTACTGATGTAGTGATGATACTTTTCCAGTTATAATTTCTACTAGTCTAACCCCCGAGCAAGAGGGTAGTTTGTTGAATGTTTTGTCACATCATAAAAAAGCTCTCGGGTGGACTATGACAAACTTGAAGGAAATCAACCCTATAATATGCATGCATAAGATCCAGTTAGATGATTGCCACGACCATTTAATAGAACCCCAAAAGAGACTTAACCCGATAATAAAGAAAGTGGTGATGAAGGAAATCATCAAATAGCTAGATAATGGGGTGATCTATCTCATATCTGATAGCTCTTGGGTCAGCCCGATTCAATATGTGCTGAAGAAGGGTGGCGTGACCGTGGTAAAGAACGAGAATGATGAGCTTTTAACAACGAGAACCATCACGGGGTGGAGGATTTGTATGGAATATAGAAAACTAAACAAGGTGACGAAGAAAGATTATTTCCCCCTCCATTTCATCGAATTCCAATGTGATGAGGGGAACTTGTTCAGTTTGAGGGCAGTCATGATATGGGAACATGAGATCAACTTTTCCTTCTTAATCGTTGTACTTGTCCGAATCGTAGTCTCCTTTTAAAGACGGGATCGTGAACTTTGGTTTTGTAAAGAGTTCGGGTGATTGGAAACGTGGTTGTGCTCGCCTGGGGCCCAAAAGTTCAGCATTGTTTGGTCTTGGATTAAGATTTGGTAAATCTAGTTGTAGTTCTTGTCGTTCTCTCACGACATTGTTAAGTTGATCAAATTGAATTGTGAGTCGTTCAAGTGCGACTAAGATAGCTGTAAGTGTCTCGTTGTTATTGTCGCCCATCCTACAATCATAACACTCAAAAGAAAATTTTAATGTAGAATAAAAAATAAAAGAAAGAAAATTCAACAAAGCAAGAAACCTCACAAGTCACTCCAAGAAAGTAACACAGCGAGAGGCATGTAAACTGATCTTGTACTATTTAAAACTCACTTTACCAAAGTAGTCTTCCACAGTTCATATCGGAGTTTGATTACTAGCAAAGGCGATAAGAAAACCTAAAAGCTCTAAGAGGCCAAACAAGAGTTAGACTCCAAGAGAATAAGAATGCAACGAATGAAGAAGTATGAAAAATCTTTAGTCCTACTAACACAAGAAAGATAATGTGTTAGATAATGTAAAAGAACAATAAAAAGGAAAACAAAATAACCTAAACCACTAAGAGTCAAAGGCAAAAAAAACCAGAAACCTAGAAAATGTTGGGTCAACTTGAGAAACGTTTTTGAGGGGGTTACCAGTGTCTAAAAATTTTGGAAAATTCTTGAATGTCTTTCGATGTGTGTAGAAATCACCTATAAATTTTCAGAACCAAATACCTTCAGTAGTATCCAGTAGACTCTGTTGAACGGTGAGTCCTCAAACAGTCTATTTTTCATGATCGCTTTGTTCGAAGTTGTTATTGATCTCCAAAAATTATGATTTTTAATGGTTTGAAATATTTGTAGTTTCAATCTGGAAATTTTCACCACGAAATTCCTCCTGTAAAATTTTCAAGAAATTCGACAAGATTCTAGACTGAATCTGCCAATGAAACTTCAACGATGTATTTGAAGGCTCTAATGAACTCTAATTGGGGTGAATTTTGGACTGAAGATTACTCTTATAATGAATATGAGATCTGAAGAAAATCATCCCTAAATTCATTCGTTTGCAATTTTTTGAAATTTTGTGATTTTTTTCTTTTTTGTTTTTTTTTCAAAAACAACAAACTAACAAGAAGGATTTGAATCTATATTAAAATTAAATAAAAAGAACCTGAAACGATGAATTTTTTGCGAACTAGCTCTGTTGGGATACCTTGACGGTTTTGTGTGCAAGAACAAGCAAGATTGCTTGCTTCTTTCGAAGAATCGACCCAAATCTGATACAAATTTATAGGAAAACGATGGCGGATTAATGAACGTTGCTCTTGTTGAAGAATCAAACCTAGAAAGCTCTAGACTCAATGAAGAACAATGGGGAATGAATAGGGGAAGGTGGCAGTAGCAAGTAGGGTTATTTAGGGTTTCTTTTAGGTGCTGGAAACAAGGTAAAAATAATATTAGAATAATATAAACGAAAGATAAAGACCTTAAAAATAAAGTATGATAATGAATAAATCAAAAGATCTCCATTGTGAAGTTGGATGGCAAAGGTGATGATGGTAAGGATGGATTTGTGGAAAATAGATGGATGATGCCCTATCGTGCCCTCCTAGTCGCAATGAAAAGGCAAACATGATAATATTGCTCTAACCAACCCTCCTAGTCGCAATGAAAAGAAAAATTGGAGTGTGAAGATTAATCTCCCTAACAAGAACTTGAAAGAACTTTAGAAGAAGAAGCTTTGAAGGCACAAGGCAATTAGCACTTGCAAAAACAAACTCTCGTTGTATTATTAATCATATAAATCTGATTAACAAAGTTGAATGAAACCTCCTTTATATAGGGGGTGAGTTCTAAATGTCATAAATAATTGATGAATAAAATAATAACAAACGAAACATGTCTTAAATCTAATTCCTAATAAAATAATAACTAAAAATAATGTTTTAACTCAACCTTAATTCTTAATGAAATAATAAATCTAATCCTAAAAGATAGTGCATCATCCTATATTAAATTATATATCAATATAAATATTAAAAATTCGTAATATTTACAAAATCATGTATTAATCTCGTATAGGAGTTTCTGCATGCATTGTCTTCACTTAAATGAACGTATCTTGAGTTCCCGATATCAGATTGATACGATTCAAGAACCGTTGGAAAGCTAAAAGACAGACGGTTGTATCTCCAGAAGACATGTCGACCAGATAACAACTGGATCCCCTTCAAAAAGTTGTTGTAAATATGATGCTATTAGACCCTTACGGATGAATGCTTGAACTGCGATTTGAAGCTTGTCTTTAAGAAGTTTGGTCTGGCCTCGTGTGATAGGGCCAAGTGGTATAGTAAATTCATCATCCTTAGCTTTAGGGCATGTGGTGCATGTATCAATATCCGGAGCAGTAATCGATCAGAAGCTAAGATAATCAAAATATCTCTCGAGTCAACAAGGTCAAGGAGGTCTCTAATGATGGTAAGTCCCCTGGTGCTACGAATTCTTGGCACCAAAACTCGCATTTCTCGTGCTCTTACTCTTGTCAGACCTGCAAAAGAGGGTTTTTACAACAGTTAGTCATTTTTTGGTAGCTCAACTTGTGTATTATGTCTTCTATTATTTTGTATTCTCCTATAACTGTTTTCATAATATAACACTTACACATTCTTTTTCTCCTTTTTCGTTGGTCGCAGCTCAGAATCATAGAACTCAAGGAACATTTCTCAAAAAGGATGATCCTAAGATAACTACTTTGATGCAGCAAGCAGAGCTACTCAGTTCACTTGCATTGCAATTTAATACAGACAATACAGAACATAGTTTGGAAAATGCTTGGAAGGTGACAATTCGGCATCCAATATTATCAACATGTAGCCTCCTAATAGGAGAACTGCCAAATCTTAAATATTGTGGGGCTTATATAGTCCAATACATGCATGCATTGTATGTCCCTAACCTTCATTCTGATAAATGTAATATTCAGGAATTCCAAGAATTTTTGAATCAGAGTAAACAAAATGACACCTTGAGATATACAATCTCTGATATTGATTTTCAATTTGAAGATTTCAAAGACTTGCTAGAGGATTTAAGAAGTAGTAACGAGGGACACCAACCGTCTTAAATCAGTTGTCTTTTAGTCCGGATTTAGTAAGACTTGCTACGTAACACGAATTGATGATTGATATGTTGTAAGCAACCTGATCTCTATGAGGTGTCTTCATCCAGCTCTGAATATAGCACAGCATCAACACTGATGCCTCACCTGGCGGTGGAAAGTGGAGAAAAGACTCGATCTAAAATAGATGCACTACACCTGGATATGTCGTCGAATCATATTGCCAAGCAGGATCATAGGACTGAGGAAAAAAGGGCTCTTTCCAGTGCAAACACAGATCATGGTAATGAAATTCTATATCTGGTTTCAAGGCTTAGGAATCAATCACTTGTTTATCACTATACAGTGGTTAAATAAGATGAAATGATATTTAAAGCGAAATCTGTTTATGTTTCAACAGTTGAGACATTCTCATCCTCTAATGACCAAACAAACATTATAGTTGTTTCCACCTCATCAAGAGCAGAGTTCAGTTCCCCGGCTCAAGTTACACCACTTTTCAGATTCCTAGCAACAGGAATTCCCAGCCCAAAATTTCCCGAAAGTGTAAGTTGACTAACGGTTAACACATGTTATGCAAGAGTAATGAGTTATCTCAAACTACAGTACCTGCATATATGCAAGAGTTATCTCAAACTACAGTATATACTGACCACCAAATTTTTGTTTCTGTTTCAGGAAAGGAACTTCCCACTTAAGACACTCGGAATGGAGTCTCCGCCTACTGCACCAACTAATCTTTCACAACCACCGCCTTGCAAATGAGCCCTCATCCATAATCTATAACAAACATCTGATCTTCTCTTATACCAAAATCATATCGGTCTATAGTCCACATATCTCATCATTTATTCCCTTGAACAACATGGCTCATGTTGAGTTTTCATCTCTTTTCTCTGTCCAAGCATTGCAGCCTCCTTGGCCTAGAATTTTACAAGGCCTTAAATGATCTGCATGCCTAGGTCGCTTAGAATGTTGGAGCATTCTAGCTTCTCAGACGCATCGAATAAGATGTCCTAGAGAGTACTACCTTAATACTCGCATTAAAACTATTGTGTGCTTGTTAGTGTGTGTCAATTCTTTTGCTTTTCATCACATCCGAGTGGTTTCGGGTACAGAACCTACTACATAAAATCCTTAGGAGTGTAATTAATACATCGGCGAGTTGCCTACATATGATAAAGAACAGAAGTAAAAGAGGCAAAAAAACAAAAAAATGAGGATAACCCCCTTGATGTTCTTGGGTATGTTGAGCCAGAGGGTATAGAATAAGTCTTTTATTTTAGTGGTTTCCTATTTTGATTTCTAATGTAATGGAACTCAATATGATTGGAGTAAAAATGTGTTGTCATTGGTGTGAATTATGCTATTGACTCTCTCTCTCCTGTTTAAATTCATGCATCATGAAATCTTTTATACCTCTTTCCAATACCTTCTACTTCGCACGTCAAGATTTCTAAATAACTCTTCCACAAAGAAGTCACTGTGAAGGAATATTTCCGGACATGAAACATGGTGGACTTGGAGTCATACTCCTCAGAAAACCACAATCCTTTAACAAATCAAACATGATCGGCTAGAATCGATTAACAGTTGATCACGTTAAATTAACTTGGCTGACCTATAAATAAGCATTATGAACTTAATTCTGACACTAGGACACATTGAATTAACAATTCATCAAATCATGCCAAATTATCAATAATTATATTTTTGGAAACGTAATTGAATCTATTAATGGAGATTATTTAGAGTATAAACTCTCTGATGAGATAAATAATATAAGTTGACCTATTTCATGGGGACATAACATTTTATATAGTTGATTTCAGAATTAATTATTGTACGTATTTATAATTTTGTCCATTATCAAATTATAAATATAACTCTAATAATATCTACACATTTATTTTCATGACATTTATAATGTCTTATGACTTGTATAACATAATTGATCACTTAATTTTGTATGTCTTTTATGATACTAATATACATAAAAAATATGTACCCGTGATTATAAATTTTAATCCAACATAAAGAATAATATTTAAGTCACATAGAATGATTTGAAAGAAGGGGCTCTATGGAAAACAAGAAAAGGTCACTATCCTTCTTTAAGACCTTCCTCGACAAGATTATCAACCGACGATGTTTGAAACATCGGCTACGATTCTCCATTTAAACTAGAACCTTTAGTTAACTCAATCATCTTTATAGTATCAACTAGTGGCGGAACTTCGTGGGGATAAGAGGAGTTTAGTATTGCCAATTATTTTTTTAATTATTAATTAATATTAAATATATATATTTAAAAAATAAATAAAAAAATTTAACAGGTTCCCTTAATTAAAAAAAATTGTATTTATAAAAAATAAAAAATATTTTAACTCCAATATAATAAATTCTTAATTCCGTCTCTGCGGTCAACAATATCCAAATATAAAGTAGAGTTGAAGGTTGATTACACAGCTGAAAACATGATGCAGCAGATAGCAATGGAATTACAAACTAAGCTAAACTTGTACGGATCTTTGGCAAAGCTGAGGATTTAACTGATTTGTGTATTTGTTTGGAAGAGGAGAAAATGAGAATGTAAAGTGTAAGGCGAAACATACTTACAGAGAAAGCATAAGAACATCATTTCTGTGTGACCAAAACATGGAAACAAACCAAACCATTCTTCGCAGGCGAGTTTTCAAAACTGTGTTAATAAGCCAAAATATCACCAGAAAGCGCACTGTAGAAATAATGTGAAGATTGCATAGTTATAGTGGGCTAATCAAATGATATCCTGTCCCACTTGGCTTTGGTAATGGGTATAATCAAAGAAATAAGTTTATATTTACCATCCAATTACAGCTTATATCTAAGGGTGTACAAAAAGTCGATTAAAAAACAAGTTATTGGTAAGTTATTGATAAGTTAAAAATTCAAATGATTTTTATTTGCTAAAGAGAATTATTGGAATCGAATCATTTTCGAGATTGATTCAGCAATGGTTGCTAATAAGTTAAATAGAGGATCGGTGGATGTAACATCCCAAAAATCGGGCTAGTGACTAAAACGTAAGTTTTTGAAACTTTGTGATCAATTTTGGAAAATTGAAAATTGTAGGGACTTAATTGGAGTATCTTGGTGTTGGATTTAATAGAAAAATTCAGAAATGGAAAGGGTATAATGGTCATTTGATAAGAATATAATTAAAAAAATCTTTAGTAAAGGTAATATATACACATGGAGAATGAGGAGGAAAAGAGAGTAAAATCTAGAGACTTTTGGGTTCAACTATCTTCTTTTTCTCTTCTCGTGACTCCATGAGTAAGGTAAGTTGGTCTCAAATTGATTATTCCTTTCATTTTAAAGTTGGTTTTGATTCTTGGAGTGTTAAGAAAGCTTAAGGAAGTTAAAAGAGAAGTAGAAACTAAAGGATTTATAAATTACGAGAGATTGAATATAAGGAGTTTTAAAGTGAATTTTGAGGAATAAGTTATAAATAAATTTTGGAGTGAAATTTGACTTGTCATAAGTTGGATTAAAAAATCTAAATTACTAGATATGGATTTAAGACAGGTTGAATATTTGGTATGATTTTTGAGTTTAAGTGTTCTAGTTAAATATTGGATGTTAAGATAAGTTAAAGTGAGATAAGTTGATTTGAATAAGTGTAGTTGAGTTCAAAGGCTTTAATGAAGAGTAAAATGGGAAATTTAGATTTTGATTGATTTTCGGGATAAAATAAGTAAATACTGGGCAAGGGGTATCGGTACTGGATGAACAATACCGATACTTCAGAGTAAAAATAGGTGATATTGAGTTTGGGTATCGATACTGAAGTATAGTATCGATACCACAGTGTAGAAGTATCGGTACTGTACCTTGGGTATCGATACTATTAAAAGTGAAATAGTGAATTAAGTGTTTTGTTTAGCTAAAGTTATTGGTGATTGATTTATAGTTTTATGAATTTCGATATTTATTTAGATCATATATTGGTGTAGATATTGGTCGAAAGAAAGACTCGGATGATTCAAAGTTGTGAGATCGATCTAAGATGCTAAGTGTTTAGCTTGTACTCAATGAGGCTAAGGTGAGTGCATATTATATTGTATATGGTGTTTTATGGAAATAAGATTTGCGATGAGTCTATTTCCAATGTTTTGATTGCATGATTCTATGAATACAAGCATATTGTTTATATAGTTTCTATGTGTACATGAATATATGTTTATATGTTATATGCATTGTTATTCATACGCTATGTATTGCATGTTATCTTATATGACTATGAGCTATGTGAGTACATGTCCATGTGATATAATTTATGTGAATATGATATATGTGAATACATGTCTATGTGACAAGTTATGTGAAACTGAACTAAATGAATATATGGAACTAGTATATAAGTGATGTGATATAATATAAGTAATTATGTGAAACTATTAGATAAGTTATATGTCATTAATCTACGAGACTATATGAAAATGTATACATGAGTAAATGCATAAGTTTATATATTATATGCACTGTTATACATAAGCTATATGTTATATGTTATGTTATGTGTTATATGTTATTATATGTGCTATGTGATCTATGTGAACATATGAGAACAAAGTATAAACTATGTGACATGATCTACGAGATTACATGAACATAAGGTATAAGCTATGCGATATAACCTACGTGATTATTGGTCTATATGAAATAAGATATAATAAATAATATAAATGGTAAAGCCCATAGTATGTGATATGAGAGTTGGGGGTATAATTGGCATGCCAAGAGTCGAGGGTTCTACGCAGTCCTTCGAGACATCTATATGGTCTTTCGGGACATTCTATGTGATACTTCGGTGCATTTTCTACGCGGCACTTCAGTGCAATTTATACGAGCTGTGGTGACAACATTTGTGCACAACCTCAATGCACTCACATATCTTTAGTTCTCATAAGTGTACCATGGACTATTAAAAAGAGATAATATAAATAAAATGTATGTGATGTTATGTGTTTTGTTTTTTGAAATGTATTATATGATGTTTACGGATGTTAAGTACAATATTATATGATTAAAGGGACTAATGATAATAATGTTGGTGATGATAATGATGGTATATGTGCATGTAAGCATTTTGATATATGAAATGTTATATGGTTTTATATGATATTATTGTATGAAATATACATGCATTGTAAGTAGTTAAAGTTTCCATTATATGTTTTATGTCTCACTAAGTTAATGACTTAGTGTGTGAGTGTTTCACACGTAGGTTATGAGAAGCAAGAGGAGCAAGGTTAAGCAGGTCAGGTCAGAATGTTTTTTTAAGATTTTTTCGAAATACTTTTAGGGTTTTTTATGAAAACACTCTATCTCTAAGTATTTGTTGTTTTCTTCGTTAATTATGTAACTTAAATAGGGTTTTATTTCTTAGTTTTTTTATAGGTTTGTGATAAAATATGATAATTATGGAGTTTTTTTGTTGGGTTTTAAGCGTTTTATACGATTTAAATATGATTGTTGTTTCTTTCCCAAATGACTATAATGTTGGTGCATATGAATGCATTGAATGAATAATTTATCCATATAAATGTATATTGTTGGATGTTGATTATTTTTAAACCTTTTTATGGTCAGTGGTTGTTGCATCAAATTTGCTGTTTGTATGATTAATTGTTCTAAAGTTGTCATCAATGGTGGTCCTAAATTTTGTTTTTTTACAAGTTAATGATGGCTCATCTACTGGTTTTATATATTTGCTATCAGTGTTCTAAAAGTATGGTAAGGGGACCACCAGTATTGTAAAGTAAATTTTTAATATTAACAGATTTTTTTAATGAGTTTTGACAGGTAGAGAATCTAAATATATCACAATTGTTATGCACCATGGTGGCTTTATGGTAAATTCATCTAGTTTTAAATACACTGGAAAGGAGTTAAGTTTTATTGATATGTGTCATGTGGACAGTATGTCAATGCTTGAAATGTATGATATTGTGGAAGAGTTAGGTTATTCTGGTTTGTGACATTTGTTTTGGAAACAATATAGACCTAAATTTAATGTTAATCCATTAAGAACATATTGTGATATCATTATCATGTTAGAAGATATGCCCAGGAATAGACACTTTCATTTGTACTTAGAAGAAAATAAAGCAAACTTTTCGAATTAAACCACTGAAACCATATATCAGAATGCAACTGAAACTCATGAAAATGTTATAACTGAAATGCATGAAACTCATGAAACTTATGAAACATTCATGTTTGAGTTAAACTCTGAAGAAGATATGGAATATGTTGTTGATGGCACTGATTCTTCTGTAAGTAGTTTTGAATACAGTGAAAATGAAGTGAGTGAGGAAGATGGATTTGTACATGAGGTACATGTGGGAGTAGATTTTAAAAGAGATTTTAATGGGTTAAATAATAGAGATGAGGGAAATATTGATGCATCTTTGAATGATGAAAATGAAACTGATGGAGTAGAGTCATTGCATACTGAAAATGAATCATTTTCTGAGTCTGACACTGATGGTCGAGGAAAACATAGATGTCCTAAGTTTAATGATGAAACTGATATGGAAAACCCACAGTTTAAAGTTGGAATGAATTTTGGTGATAAGTTGAAGTTCAAAGAGGCTGTCAGGCAATATGGGATTAAGAATAAGGTTGATATCATATTCAAAAGAACTGACAGTGTTAGGGTGCATGCTGTTTGCAAGGAAGGGTGTCCGTGGTATATTTGGGCATCAAGGGTTGATCGAAAAGATGAAACAAACACCTCACAGCAGATTAAGTCTTATGTAGGAGATCATAATTATTTGATGGGTTTTAAAAATAAAAATGCAACCTATAAGTGGATGGCTAAAATATATCTTGAAAAATTTAAGGCTAATCCTCAGTACCCAATTACAGCTTTAAGACAGGATGTATTAGAAGATCATGTGTATAAAGTGTCATTGAGTAAATGCTTGAGAGTTAAGCACTTAGCTCTTGATATGGTCCTTGGGAGTCACAAGGGTCAATACTCAAAGATATATGATTATCTTGGAAAAATTAGATCTTCTAATCCTGGAAGCACAACCATTCTAAAATTGGATAATAGGATGTTTGAAAGAATGTACATATGTTTACAAGCATGCAAAGAAGGTTTCAAAGGTTGTAGACATATAATTAGCATTGATGGTTGTCATCTTAAGGGTAATTATGGAGGTACTCTTTTGGCTGCTGCTGGTATTGATGGTAATGACAGCATTTATCCAATTACTTTTGTTGTTGTTGAGAGTGAAAATGAATCATCTTGGACTTGGTTTCTTTTACTGTTGACAACTGATTTGGAGATTGAAACCTCCCATAATATCACATTTATGTCAAACAAGAAAAAGGTAATTTTGATTTACCCTTTAATTAATTATTCATTTCTATTATGAACAATTTTTCTAATACTTTGCTTATTGTTTTTTAGGGACTGGTTGAGACAATGGTGCATGTTTTACCTAATGCTGAGCATAGGATTTGTGTGACACACTTGTACTCCAACTTTAAGAATAATGCTCAATTTAAAGGAAAGAACTTAAAGGATGCACAGTGGAAGACAGCTAGAGCTACCTATAAAAAATAATTTGAAGATGCAATGGATGAACTGAAAGCATTATCAAATCCAGCTTTTGATTGGTTGAATGCAAAAGACCCTGCCCAATGGTCCAAATCTCATTTCTCCCCAAGGAGTAAATCAGACATGCTACTCAACAATTTGCCTGAGCGCTTTAACAAGGTAAAATGAATAAAATTAGTTAAATATGATTATATTACAATATGATTCTAAGCCATTTTTTTGGTTCTGTTACAAGATGATTCTGGAAGCTCGAGATAAACCAATTTTGACTTTATTTTAAAATAGTTACAACTGAATATATTACATATAAGTCAATATTTCCAGTCGAGCTAAACTAGTTTTTTTCAAATTTCTGATTGTCATTTTTTAAACTTACATTAGTATGTCTTTCCTTAGACAATCCCAAAAAAAATGGTTAACCTATAATTCATACCGATCCAAAAAAAAATGAAACTTGAAACCCTAACTCTATATTTTTTAGGTTCAATATTCATTTTACTCGAAAGGTTGCATATGTAGTAACATGATAACAGTATATCGTAGAGGATGGTATTGTTTACCTCACCCATCCAACTTTGTCATCTAAAATACAATCGGATTAATGTAAGACTACAAAAAGCCAAAATTGATTATAACCAAAATTTTTATTAAGAACACAACTTTTAGAACAAAGTGAATAACACTTTATATTAGAATAAAAAATATTACACCTTTTATAACGATTTATATAAGTTATATAATTATTCTGATGGCAACCTAGAATGTTATCGTCGCGACATTCTCGGTTATAGATTATAACTGATATTATTATCAATTGTGTAACTTTTTGAAATAAACATATAACGCTTTGAGTTAAAACCCGTCTCAATATAACATTCTTGATTGTAACTGAAATTATTATAAGTTGTATAACCTTTAAGGTTAGAGTTTAGACATGATAACATCTTAGGTTAAAACTCATAGCAAATCGCAAATTAACCTTAGATTATGCCGCCACACAACAAAATTACCAGTAATTTTGACCCAAAAGTAAACCAAACCAAATATCTTCCTATTACTTTCCACTTACACAGAAAAGGATAACTGGAAATTTAACACATTAAAGCAATGCACGAAACTTAGGAAGAGCAGTTGTATTGTATATAACGATATTATGGTCCTTAAAATGGGCATTATACCTTGTGTCAACACCAAAACACTTGACATCACTTTGCTCAAATTTGTGGGGGGGGGGGAGAGGGAGAGGGAGAGGAACAGAAATAACCAAAGACAACAAAAATGAAAAAGGAAAAGGAATGAGCTTTCACTAACCATTTTCTTTACCAAATCAATCCTCAAAATCATGCATATGATCTAAAAGGTGGCTACCAGTTCCTCATCCTTGTTGCAGGCAAAAAACACTTGAAGCACTGTTGCTCTATCAAACCCCATTGATTCTAGCTATATATCATAGTCAACCAAGCTGAGGTTATAAAACAAGATTCAAACCAAGAACTAGGTGACGAACAATTATTGAACCAGACACCTATATTTTTAACCATTCATCCAAAACTACTACCTATAAGAAGTATCTATAGCATGTTCATATATCTGAACTAATCTCATTACAATGATCAGGGCTAGACCCTATCAATTGGGTGGGTTCAGTTGGTTTTGAGTCGAGATAATCTGAATCGGGTAAAATTTTCCGGCCAGGTCAATTTTAGATTCATGTCATTTTAGGTTTAAGTCATTTCAGGTAGAACAGTTACGGGTTCAGGTTGTTTTGGGTTTAAGTTGTTCATGTTTCTCAAACTGAGTCATTACAAGTTCGGATCATTTTGAGTTCTACTCTCTTCAAGATCATTTTGGGCTCAAGTTGTCAGGGTTTAAATTATTTTAGGTTTGGGTCAAATTGAGTTGGACATGATAATTTACAGGGAATAATGCAAACATTCGAGTCAGCTTTAAACAGAAGATAATTTACCCGTTCTATGGCATCACGTTCCTCAGGTGTGACTTGAACAGCTTGTGGCATTTCCTCGGCTAATTGCCCCAATACGTTCCTACGACAGAAAATAGCAAATATGCATTCAAAGACGTGCACAACTAGGCTCAATTTAGCAACTAAAAATGACAAACTCACCCCTCTCCACCTTCAGCAGACTCGTTAATCAGGCGAATAAAATCAGCCTGATGCTCTTGAATAAGTCTCACTAGATGAGGATTCTGTTTCCCCAACTCTTGAAGCATAGGCTGCAATAATAAATAAACAAAAACCTTCAGAAAAGACAGGAAAAGGAAAAACACAGATGACCAGAACAACCAAGGGGTCAGAGAATAACCTGCAATAATTGTGGGTTTAGCTTGCACCATTGCTCGCAAAGCTTGAAACTGAAAAAGAGAGGAGCAAAATGAGTGTAGTTTGAGGTAAAAAGTTGCATAAGTAAACACCGAAAAGGCCCATACACATCCATTTGATGAGAAAGAGAGAGAGGGAGACCTGTTGACTGTTGCGCAATAAATCAAGAGTGCCAGCCCCAGCACCAGCTGCACCAATGTTGGGAAGGCCCTGTATCAATAACAGACCATCAGGTCAAAAGTTAAGTTTTCCGTCATCTAATTTATCAAATATATACTGCACTGTACCTGGGGAAAGAGGTCTAGAGGATTTGCATTGGGTCCACTTGTAGGAACAGCTGCCGGTTGAGGCAGCTGTTGAGATTGTGATGCTGGGTTAGCTGTTTGCCCAGCTACAGGAGCACGAGCCACAGCTGGAGCTTCAGGTTGCTCGGCTATACCCTAAAATGTACAATAAAATTTCATAGTGAAATAAAAACAAGCAACTCAACAGTAGCGAATAAAATGAATGCTTGTTTTAATAAATGAAAAGGAGTATATTTTAAGTCGTATAAAGACCCGGGATAAGAAATGGCAAATTAAATAAATTAGAACTTTCATTTTTTTTTTGGTTGGGGGGGGGGGGGGGGGAACAAAATGAGTATCACTAGTCTTGGAATAAGGCATATGATTTTTTTATTAAATTTGAAAACAAACAAACATGGCAGACTTCTACTCCAAAAACTGCAAGAACCACCAAATAAAAAGGACCAGCAAAATGAAACAAAGGAAGCACATTTTGCGAGAAGGGAAATAACCAAGGTGCAAGTAGAAATAATCTAATTATAAAAGACAAAATGGCATTATCTTCGTTGCCAGAATCCTCACAAGATCTCACACCTATGAGAGTAGTACCATCTAGATTAAGGGGAACAATAAGGCAATTGCAATGGAAATGACAAAATTTCAATAACCCAACGAATAAGTTGGCAACTCGAGGTACTCATCAAAAACGCAGGCATATTACAATTTCAAGTCAAGCACAAAGGAATTACTTACAGAATACAAATATTCCACAGCTCTCTCTGGGTTATTAAAAGCAGCACGAAGAGCATGGACAACAGTATCCCTATCCCAGGTCCCTCCACCCATATCAAGAATCTGTTGGACTGCTCCTTCTGAGTTACTTCCTGCTACCAGATTTGATGCCGCTTGTCCATAAACATCAGATTCCAACCTGTTTCAAAAGACATTATTCAAGATATTAAAAAACAAAACATATGGAACTTTCCTATTTAAAGCAATTGAAGACAGATAAAATCAAAAGCATGCTTCCAATCCTTCAAAAACATGAAGTTATTATAAGAGAATATGTTACGCACTCTATAGGAGTCGAAGCAACTGGACTAAATTCAGCTACAGGTGCAGGTGTAGCCCTGAAAGAGAGTTGATAAGAAATAATCCACAATGGAGACATTGTAACCTAACAGGAAGTGAAGAATAGATAGACATACATAGCTGAAGTTGCAAGTGGAGCGGTAGAAGCTGGTGCTGGAGCCACTGGTGGTACACTTGCTTGGGGAGTCTAAAAATATAAGATTTTATCGACTATGAGAAAAGAGAGAAATATTTCCATCTAAAACTACTACTTAACAACCTGCATATAAGCACACAATCCAGAAGTGACTAACCAAAAATCACTTCATACTTTAGGGGGAACGAACACATTTCTATTCATGCTTAAAAAGAAAGTTGAATATCAAAATTAACATAATGGTTCTGTTAGACTGAATAGCTAAGTTATAACATATTCGCAGATTGTGGCATAAATAGATCAAAAAGAAAATTAACTAATTAAACTGTTCTAGTGAAGTCCATGAAGAGAGACTAGGATATCGGCTATTTGTTGATATGGTGTTTGAAGGGAAACAAGAGTGAAAACAAGAGGGAACCAAGTAACTCGGATAAGAGATTAGGTAACTAACTCAAAAATGTTAAAAGAAGGACCAAGTTATTAATAGAAAAACTAAGATTCCAACATTTTGCAATTTGTTTACGACTCAATAGTACAAGTTAGATAGTAAGCATTTGGACACAAAACAACTCAACCATGTGCCGTATCTGAAAAACTTAAAGCACTGCTATTCACCACCTACAACATTTAATGGTTTAAACATATACAATTACATCAATCCAAATTGCCTTCTCATCAGTCATCACAACATTGAACAAAACATGTTCCACTAGGAGAAAAAATCCTAAAGCCTTTTTCAGGTCATGTCGAATGAAAATGTCTTTTCAGTGATATAGATAAAAAAAATCACAGCACAATAGCAATCATGCATAAAGGTAATTAATATTCAGAAAAGATAATGGAAAAGGCAGCAAGAGAGCTGGCAAAATTATAAGCGTACTTTAGTTGTTGGAGCTGTTGAACCAGCTGCACCATCAGCAGATGAACCCTTATTCTAGAATAAGAGAAAACAATGTAGGATTAGTACCAAATTGAAAATAATTAAAATAAAAAAGGATGCAAGTTGATTAAAGACCAAAACAAAGAAAGAAGTTTTGTTTCTTGTTTAGTAACAAATTGACATTTTGCAACATGCAACTAAGTTGAGGGAACAATCAGATTTAAAAAAATTTAATGACACCATACTCCATCCTAAACCAAAACCAAGATAACT